TTTCTCACAATAGATAGCCATATTGGGCTACATCAGAAGAGCGACTGTAAATAGCCTAAGTGACGTGGTGGCCAAGAGAAGAAGCAGGCAGTGAGATACATTCTAGAGCTCTCTGACTGGGGCTGAGCCTTCATGAGCCTGACACTCTGACTGTGATGTTTGTGCACTTCCCAGCCCCTTCTTTCCCATTAGTTGGGCCAAGATGTCAAGAGGGAAGTAGAAAAAGCTAGAAATAGGTCTACTGTGTAATTCAGCTATCCCAGTCTTGGGCATACGCCCAAAGAACTTTATATCCTACTACAGAGATAACCTGTTCATCCATGTTTATCACTGCTCTATTTACAGTAGCTAGGAAGTAGAAACAGCCTAGATACCTGTTGACTGATGAATGGATAATGAAGTTATTCATCTGTTAAGAAAAATGAATTTAAAATTCATAGATTAATGAATGGAGACGGAAATAATCATGATGAGGGAGGCAGCCCAGACCCAGTAAGACAAATTTCATATGGCCTTTCATCTTCATATATGTGTGTTTCCCTTGGAATTCCTATTGAGTTTAGGAAGCCGGTAAGGAGCCATGCGAAGGGGCTTTCAAGGGAAAGTAGATAAATACAATGGCATCTGAGTAAAGAGGGAGTAACAGAACAGGAAGAGTTAAATGGGGTGGGAATGGAAGGGCGGGATAAAGGAGAGAATAGCAAACAGCACAAACCTTTAAAACCATCATATGGAAATCTCCTGGAGAAGCCTCCTAGAATATATCCATACACATTTATAAAAGAAGTTATGCTATAATGGGGTAACAACACCCCTACCAGACACTGGAGGCTAGCAAATAGAAATCATGGTGCCATCAAATGGATTGCCTCTCAGGAGCTTTTGGTTTCCAAGGTCCCATAAACCCCCAAATCTTATAGGCTACTGCTAATGCTCTTGGTTACCCCAGAACATACTGTAAGACTCTATTGCTGAAGCCATAGAACATGGAAAACTCAAGCTGTTACTTGCCCGGCAGCTTTGGCCCTGCTGGATATCCTTCACAGCTCTGGAAGGGGCTATGCACATGGCTAGAGGAGCAAAGTAACCATCCATCCATGAGCCCGACAACCTGAATTTGATTCCTTGTGGTGGAAAGAGAGAGCCAAATCCAGCAAGTTGTCTTCTGACCTCTGTATGCATGCATACATGCATGCACACACACGATAGAAAGATAGATAGATAGATAGATAGATGATAGATAGATAGATAGATAGATAGATAGATAGATAGATAGATAGATAGATAGATAGATGATGGATAACAAAGGAAGAAAATGGTAAAATTGTATTGTATTTCTGGAACAGTGGCTTAGCAGTTAAGAGCACTGGCTACTTTCTAGAGGTCCCTGGTTCAATTCCTGCGCCATATGGTGGCTCACATCCATCTATAACTCCAGTTCTGGGGAACTTGTCACCCTTCTTTGGCCTCTGTGGATACCAGGCAAGTACATACACAGACATTTATGTAGACAAGTCACAAAATAAAATAATAATTTTTAAAAGAAAAATTAAACTCTACCTGTCATTGCTAATCAGGTCTAACATTCTCAAATGGGTGGGATGGCAAATTGCTTTTCTTCTCTTGTGAATTCCCTGGTTTCTGAACCAGTTCTGTTTTCGCTTTAAAATCTTTTTATTTCGTTCCCACTGCCATTTTAACTTATAGAGCAGAGGTGTGAAGCTTTTCCTCTTACTCCACAAATGCTTCTCCAGTTTCTTTTACTTTTTGTTTTGTGTCTTTTCTTTAACATTAGAAATTTGTTCTTCTAGCAAATCTTCATTAGCATATTTAATGATACCTTCCCCAGCTCATATTTAAATATTTATTCATATTTTTGTAGATATTTGGTTTTTTGTAACATGTCTTTAAATATTATAAAATTAATTTGTCAAATATGTAAAGTTTTTAATGGTTTGCCAACTTAATCCCACTTTCTGATTATTGCCAGTATATGGAAATTCAATATTTTTTGAGTCTGTTTTAAAATTTCAGGTTTTCTCAAATTTTTATTCTAAATTTCAGATGCTGTTGTTTTTTAGCTAATGATGTATTTTTCTTTCTGGTGCTTATACCTCTTACAATTCTTTATTTCTTTGGCCCTAAATTTAAGAATGCATTAAATGACAGTGTAGCTATTTTGATTTTTCTCTTTATATTGAAATTAAGAGAATATCTCATTTGTAACACAAACTACCCTTTATATACGATGTAGCCCAAGATGGCCTTGAACTCATGACTCTCCTGCCTCCACGTCTTCATTGCTAGGCTTACAAACACACTCCAGCACACTTAGGTCTCTAGCCCTTCATTGCTTATTTTGTGTTCAGAGAAGTAGGTTTCACTGAGGCAGCCTCATGCCCATGTGCCCATGCATCAGGGCTCTCCCTTTGCACTCAGCACTGCTTCCCCAGCCCCTCCCCTCTGCCTCTCCACGCCCCCTTCCTCCAATCGCTCCTCTGTTTCCACAGTGTGTTTTTTGGCTCCCTTAACCCGTCCTGCAAGACTTCACTCTCAGCTCTTGCAGTCCTCTTCTCTCACATTGTCTGCCTGTGTGTCCGTTTAAGACTGGATTCTGCATGCAGAAGAACACGTGTCTATGTCTCTTTATCCTTTCATCTGCGGGTGGATGCCTAGGTTATTATGAACGAGCGGCAGTAAATGTGGATGTGCAATCTCTCTGTCACGTTAACTTACAGTCCTCTGGGCGCCTTCCCCGGGGGGAATGTGGCTGCCTGGCGTGGTAGTTCTGTTTTTGTTTTTGGAGGAACCTTCGTGTTAATTTTCATAGTGGCTATAATAGGGTTTATATTCCTACCAGCACTGACTGATGACTGATGCCTCTTTCCCCACATCCGACCCAGCATTTGCTACCATTTGATTCCTTAATGATATCCATCTGACTGGGGTGAGACAGACTCCCAGAGCAGTTTGCATGGGAGATGCAGTTGCATCTCCATGATGGCTAAGGATAACATTTTGTTGTTACTGTTTCTTTAAATATTTATTGGCCCTTTGTATTTCTGTTTTGTAATCCGACTGTTCCATTCATACATATATTTAATTGATCACATGAGTTGGTGTTTGGGGGTTTGATTTTTGGAATTCTTATAGAATCTAGATACTAATTTCCTATTGGATGTATAGTTGGCCAAAGTTTTCTCCCATTCAGTAGGTTGTCTCTTCACTACAGAATTTTTATTTCGTATAATCCACTTTACCAATTCTCATTCCCTGTTCCTATAGCCTTTTCATCAAGTCCTTGCTTCTGCAAGTGTGTTTCTACGTTTTCTCCAGCAGTGTCAGGGTTAACGAGTATCCAGTCAGTTTTTCCTAGCCCCGCTTGTTTCCAAGATCCCTGTTGGAAGACTGTGCCCCTTAGGACAGAGAGGATGAGGGGAAGCTGTAAGCTCGCTACAGTCACCGCTTACAGTCTCCGTGGTCACATGAGGAGGGTGTGCTAAGGGAGTGAGCAAGTCCTCAGTACAGGGTCCAAGCCTCACTTGCTCATCCGAGTCCTCTGGAGATGTGCCCAGCTCGCCTCAGACTCCCTTAACTTTGAATGGTCACCTGAAAGTGTGCCCCCCCCCCAAGCATGACAGCCCTTAGGGCAGCATCTTTTCAATAGTCTCGTGATGTCGACTTGACATGCCCTTCCTCTGACCTGGAGGGATGCTGTAAATCCTGTCGCACTGCTTCACTTGCAGTAGATAGGCTTCCCAAGAAGGCAGGGAGAATAGTGAGTGTCATTCCATAAAGCTCCATTGGCCCCCAGCTCCTAGCACGTTATAGTTCCTGGTGAGCCATCTGGTGTTGCAGCAAATACCCAAAGAGAAAGGGTGGTGACGTTTTGATGGGAAAAGTTGGGCAAGATATGCTTGTAGTGGGCTTCCAACATTCCTTGGCTACTAAAAGAAAGATGGACCCAAGAGAGTGTGGGTCGTGGGCAGGTGCAGATAGCCATCCTCTCTTGTGTAACGTCGGACCTCCTCTGACATCCTGGGGCAGCCCCTGTGCTGAGAGCTGATGCGCAATCATCTCTCACCCTGAACTCTTCACTTTCCCACGTGTGCATCCCCCTGCCCTCTGTCCTGCCTGTCTAGGGCTCCAGGTGCCTGTGAATGTGTCTTGAGCATCCGCTTTCTCACCAACAGCCTGTGTCCCACCTTATCTCCCCGAGACACCCACCTCCTTCCCTGAGACGTCCACCTCCCTCCTGAGGCACCCACCTCCTTCCTGAAATGCCCACCTCCTTTCTGAGACGTCCATCTCCCTCCTGAGACGCCTGCCTCCCTTCTGGGACACCCGCCTCCCTCCTGGGACGCCCACCTCCCTCCTGGGACTCCCGCCTCCCTGCTGAGACGCCCGCCTCCCCGCTGAGACGCCCACCTCCCTGCTGAGACGCCCACCTCCCTCAATCTTCATCTCCATCTCTCTGTTTCCATGTTTTCACTGTACGCACATGCTTGATTGAGTCTGATATGCCAAGGGATGTAAAAGAATGCAGAGCATCATATACTTACAATTCTAAGTATAGTTGAACTGAGTTATTCCTTTTCGTTTTCTTTCTTTCTTTTTGATGGAGCCAAAAACTTAAAACACTTTATACTGGAATTTTATATTGAATGGCTGAATTTATCCTTAGTTGAAGCATTTTTATTTCATTCAGTTAATATTAAGAGCATTCATTTGAAAACACTGACTATGTGGTAAATTGTTAGGCTTTTCATTTGGGGAATATTGGCAATAAGTATCCAATGGAGGGGCAGAGGGGCCGAGTGGGGGGAGGGATGAAGAAGTAAGACTGTGACTGAAGTGGAAGGAAGGGTTTTATCCTACAGGTGAAAGCCTGAACCTGTGCATGTTCTCCTTAGACTCTCTCTTTACCTCGGTTGTTCCGTTCTAACTGTCCTCTTGTTTCCTTTCCACTGTGCACACACGGTGGGCTCTGCGCACCTCAGGACGAAGTCTTAACTGTGATCCGGAGAGTGGATGATAACTGGGCGGAAGGCATGCTAGGAGACAAGGTCGGGATTTTCCCACTCTTGTACGTGGAGGTAAGCTCACTAACACACCTGTTGTTTGGATCCCCAGAATGCAGGGCCCTGGCCTGGGGGAGCCCCTTCCTGAGGGAGAAGGAGATTCCTCCCCTCCCCAAGCGTGTAATGCCTGCGGCTTCCTGGAGGCTTCTTCTAAACTGCCCCCGTGTATGAGGATTCTCTGACCCCTTTCAGAGGTTCCTCCCAGGCTGGATGCTGTCTCCTCGCTGTGGGCTCCAAGGGCAGGACCTAGGCGGCCTTCCCCAGTGTCTCAGACACCCATCACGCACTTTTATGAGACTTCTGTATCCTACTGTGCTGGCTCCTGACCCAAAGAGAAGAGTTTAAGGCAGCGTCTCCCTGAACCCCCACACAGACTTCTGGAAACACTGCTGATCATTAACTATGTCCTGACTTCTCCATGCATTCTTGTTAGCTGGGCAGCTCATCCAGTAAGAGCCCCTCAGCAGCGGGAACCCAAGGCCTGTTTGTTTCCTGGCTCCCCTTCCTGTGTCCAGTGCCACCTTAGGACGGTTGCTGAACAGAGGCCACGTGGGCTACCTGTCTGCCTTGTGCTGTTTGTCCCACAGTATTTTCCCCACTGAGTGTGTCCACTATTTGTTGCTGCCAGGCCACATGTGGTCCATGAGGAAGCCAAATACTTTTACCTGATGCCCATTGCTTATAAACCAAGACTAAATGCCAAATACTTCTCAGTACTTAATCTTCCAATAATGTAGACACTAGAAAATGATGGCCACCTCTACTTTGTAGATGATCAGACAGAAAATCCACGCGCTCTGGGAGGTACCCACCCAACAGCTGATAGGTGGAATTCTGGGATATGTCGAGCCCCATGGCTGATGTGTGGGACATAGATGTTTAGTTTTAGTCTTTGCCTTTAACCTCCTGTCCCACTTGGTGTCCCACAGATGCTTTGCTCGGCCTAGTGTGGAGCTCCTGACTGCAAGCACACCCAGTAGATAAGAACGTGAGAGTCAGAGGAAGGTCAGGCAGGGAACATGGTCATCAGGGTGTGCCCATGGTAGACATTTGTTAGAAACATCCACAGGTCTTGACTGCCCAGGAAGTAAAGGCCTAATGGTTTGCCCTGGCATTCAAGGTCCTTCACAATCTTGCTGGATTTTTCTAGCCTCAACTCTCATCACTCCCCACTGATCTTCCCAATTATTCTAGATAACATTTACTTTGGGTTGACCTCCCCGGAGAGCCAGGACCTGCCCTAGCAATGACAGTAGTCCGTGCATACACGTGGTCCCTGTCTCTAGCCTTTACTGTTATAGCTACAGTCGCCTTTACTATCTCCGGTGATTTTTACATATTCTGCATTGCTGTACCTTTCCTATCTGGGTTGCTACTTAAAGTAGATAACTAACTTACGGTATGAATATCATATGCCATACATTTGAGAGGTCCAAAATTCAAAGTCCCTCATGGTTTTTAGCAGGGTGCATTTTTTTTCAGTGCTGTTCTCTAGGTGGTGAGAGAGACTGAGGAAGAAATCAGTTCCAGGCAGTAGTAGCATCCTTATCCCAGAACGGGTAGGAGTTTATGGGAGCAGGCCAGATTACACTAGACCCAAGCCCTCGATCTGATGCCGCTACATTTGGGGGCTTAAACAAAACTTGTATGGTGTGTGGGAAACTTCTGGTACTATTTATAGATTCTGAAAAGAAAATAATGGTAGCAAAACTAAAATCCTGATTAAGCTAAATAGATGTAATCAGTCCCAAAGTAAATGTTACTAATGGCAACTGTCTCCTGTGTGAAGGTCCCCAGCATCAGCTCTAGAAATGCACTGCCAGGCGTTTGTTGAGCCTCATTCAGCTGCCTGAATTGGTTTGGGTTCATCCTCTTGTGCGACACAGCAGCTCATTACTTCATCGACTATAAAGAGGGGAAGTTATTTTGAACCCCTGCCTCTAAACATAGTGTTTGCACAGAGAGAAAGCTGAGTTCTGCAGCTGTGATTCCGAGCATGGCCTGTGGTGCTGCGGGGCTCTGCTATTTGCTAGCTCCTGGTACTTGTCATTTCTGTCTTTGGTCTTGCTGATTTTCAGTCCCCTGACTGGGCAGGAGAATGTTTTCAGGAAGGAAGCTCAAGAGAGGTTGTGTGTGAGTCAAGTTTCTCCAAAGAGATGGTGAGAATCGTGTACGAAAGGACTAAGGAAATTGGCTCATGCGGTTATGGAGGCTGAGGAGTCAGACAACAAACCACCCACAAGCTGGAGCCCTGAGATGCTCGTGGCTCAGTCCAAGTGCAAAGGTCTTAGCAGAGACACAGATGGAGGGTCTCTTGGCCTGAGGCAGAAGGCCTGAGAGTTGGGAGAGGGTTGTTCCAGTGAAAACTCAACCGCGAGGAATAATTGCCGACTGCTTTTGAACAAGTCTTTTCTAGGAAATTCAGTACATTCTTAGAAACTCGTTGTAAGATCACACATTGTCCAAAAACCCGCTACCCTCCCTGAGGGCTTCTGACTTCAACCACAGCTACAGCGCAGACCTGCCCTTGAGGGCCAGGGGATAAGTGAAGCTCCAAGTCAGAGTTCCCGAGGTTTGAACCTCCTCAACCCCCAGGCAGACCCTGCCCACTGATGCTACTCCCAGGTCTTGCACCTAGACTGACTGCACATTGTAAGTTCCTCCAGGAAACTCAAGACTGGAGAACCAGATGCTAATGCAGGACCTTCCTAACCCTTCACCGGATAGACACTGGTCCTGGGCACACGACACATGTACTCAGCCTTAGCTAAAGAGAAGTTTACATGGACGTAGATAGACCAGTATTGTTAGTGTCTGTTTGGTGATCATTTTGGGCATTAGAAAAATGGATTAGAAAGATGGGTGTGAACATCCCCATTGGCAAGACACGGCATTTAGTTCAACAACAGTACGTCCCCGCAATCTGCAAGCCAACGTGTAACTCTGCGGTTGCTGAGTGAAAGATTTTGTTCTAGATCTGGAAAAGGGAAAGAAAAGGCTCATGCAAATTTTCTTCAAGAGACCAGACAAAGCGGAAGAGTATGTCCTGGGCTCAGCTGAGCAGCCTGCCTTGGGAAACTCGCATGCCTACCACGCGTCTAACACAGCAAGCCTCACCCATCTCCTGGCGCCCATCCTCTCACTTCACAAGGCATTTAGGGTTGTCCCTGAGACTTTCCTCTGTTATATCTGCAAACATATCCTTCTATCATCAAATCCAGAACAGCCCTGAATGGCACATATGCCCCCATTGGCCTGGTGAGGTGCGCCTGCGTCACAGGAGAGAGCTCTGGCTGTTTCACTTTCTTACCAGGACAGGTCATTCACAAGGGACAGGAATAAAAGCAATCACGCTCAAGAAGGTGAAGATGGAGTTATTTCTACACTTGACTCGAGCTCCTCCGCTGGGTGCTAGCTGTCTGGTGGCCTCTGTCTTCCTGCAGAGGGGCACTGGCTCAGAGTTATCCTCCTTAGGCTATGCTGAGCCACCTGCCTGCCTTAGCACCTTCCATGACTATAGACAAGGGGCCTTGGCTCAGCTCCCCTCAACCTGGTATGCTTGCTTGTCCATTCTTCATTTTGATCTTTCCTAGAAAAGGGGTCCAGGCTGGTGACTCACAAACCAGTGAACCTCACAGCCTTCAAAGCTCTATAGTCTTAGCTTTAAAAAGCCCAGTGCAATGAAAGGCTTCTGGCTCCCACAAGTACCTAGGTGGTGCTTGTCACCTCCCTTCCAAGCCCAGGGATCCTCATCCTTCTGAACTTTGCATACCAACACACACACACACACACACACACACACACACACACACACACACACACCTTTCCCTCTTGAAGCCACAGTCCGTAGCCACATGACTTTCAGCCCATCCCCTGTAACTCTTAGACATCTACCCCATTCTGGCTCATCTCTTTACTATATGAGTTCAAGGTGTTCTTGGAGGCCTTCCTTGAATGGCATTCCCTGTCCTGTCCAGTCTACACACACTCCCCATCTTCCATCTAACCATAAAACAGCACAGGATAATGTTCTCCTGTTGAGAGGTCATGGGCTGGCCCCTACCAGGCACCTCAGCTGGTATTAGGTACCCACGCATAGCTGCCGTCAGAGATCCTGACGAGGAGTCACTTCGTGGCTAGACTATAAGCCCTACAATGACTAGGCTGCAACAGGCCCTTTCTACTTTGCTGTCAGCTGATGCTAATTTTCTCCCAGAATTACAGAGTAGGATTACCTCCCCAGGGAACAAGTCTTTACTGGGAGAAAGGCCCAGAGAGCATCCTCCCCATTTTAAAAAAGCAAATTTCGCTTTATATTTAGGGTAAGCAACATCTTATAAGATGCTTATGCAGTTAAGTGGTTACTATGGTATAATAAGTGAGCCCATCCATTAGCTCACACAGTCGCTCATTTTCCCATTGGCAAGGCCAGCTGCAGTTTTCTCCTGCTACAGAAATCCTTAGTGTGATTCTACAGCTGGTATCAACCACCATGCTCCTGGTGCTCCCTAGCTCTTTAACTTGTTCATGCCACCCTCTACTCCTTCATGTCCTTTGACACATTCCTTCCTCCACACCTTGGTAGTCATTGCTTTATTCTCTATATATTTGACTCCTTTTCAGAGTCCATATTGTGAATAAGATCGTTTACCTCTTTTCTTTGTACGTCTGACTCATTTAACCAAGCATCATGTTCTCGCAGTCCATCCATAGTGCCGCAGATGTAAAGATGTTGAGACCACATGCCTGTAGTCTTAGCACTCAGGGGATGAGGCCTCAAATACTTAAAGGCCTTGAGATTGAGGCCAGTCTGGGCAGCATAGCTAGATTTTGCTAAACAAAGAAACAAACTTGAAAAACAAAGGAATTCCCAAACTCTACCTAGCAGGGGCAGGGGTAGGTCCTGGCTGTAGAGGTGGGAGCCATTTTCCAGCAGAGGCTGCCGTGCTCTTTGGGCAGGCCTGGCAGAGGTAACAGTTTTCAGACATGGTGTAGAGAGCATGTAGCCATGCAGA